AACATGGATGGTGGCTGTCATTTCTGAAGGATCCATATGTGCAAAATTTAATCACTCTTCCTAAGTAACTGTAATAGTTTCAGGGAAGGTAACGCAGCCTCAGTTGGCATTTCCTTCTGGAGTGGCCATGCCGCAGCTTCTGCCCACGAAGCATTGTTTTCGTTGCCTCCGCCTTGGCCAGCGGCGGCTCAGCCTGTTGGGTGTTGTCTTTGCTCCTGGGCGACCTCTGAGCCCCCAGCCCAGCGGCCCACTTGTTGGCGGGAGCGTGTCCGCTGGCTTCCCCACCTCTTCCTGTCCAGAGCACGGTCAGAGCCAGGGCAGTGCCCCGCTCACACTGCTCATCCTGAAGGCGCCACATCGCCCACCCGTCTGCCAGGGTGCACGTTGCCACGCACAGGTCAGGCCTCTTGGTGGTGAACTTTCTGGGTCTTCAATAGAAAACATCTTCACTTGCCCTGAGTAGATAGAAGAGAAACATCGGCACCATTTTTACGTCAGATTTATTGGAGAGCAGTTGCCCCAAGCTGGGCCAGAGGAGTGAGGGACCCCACAAGTCAGGACTTAGGCCTGGAGGCCGAGGGTCCAAGTTCAGCATGTTTTATGGGACCTTTCCTCAGACTTTGCGTGCAGCTGCCCTGGCAGACACAGGTTATGTGCCCCGTGCCAAGGAGTTTTATTTAAACTCACAAGCCAGTAGGAGAGCATCCAGCTGTTCTGACTGTTTGAGTCTACGCAGGCATGGCTGGTCCCAGCTAGCAGGACACCCAGGCTGCCCACAGACCACAAGATGAGGGGCTGTGGCCGCCCTCAGACCTGGATGCCATGGACGACGGCCGCCCTTGAGCTCTGGTCAACACTGCGTCAAGGTTCACTAGCCTGTCAGGACCAGGCTGGGAGAGCCCGCAGCTTACCCTGGTCTGGCTCATCCCCACTCCTGCTGCCTGTCCGGGACGTCCCTGGGAGACAGTGGGCAAGTTAGCTGTTCCTCAGAAAAGGGAGCATGCAGCACGGCCCACACCCAGTGGCCCATGGCCACTGTATCTGTCAGTGTCTGGGCTGGGAGCACCAGTTCCTCAGGCCCACAACTGGAGGTGTTTTCCCTTCAGTTTTATGTGGACATTTTCCAAACGTGACTTGTTGAGGGCTGGTTGTGTTATTCAAAATGAGCCAGCAGCCGTAGAGGTGGAAGTTCCAGAAACAGGCAGGTGCAGCTCATGGCTTCCTTATGAGCATTTGCTAACCGTCACCCCAAAAGCCCCTGGCAGGACCATCACCCCAAGACATCCAATGGAACAGAACCTTCCAGGGCCACCATAAATGTGTTGCCAAGTGAAAGGGCCAAATATGCTCCCCCTTCCCCCAAAGACTGAGCACAGGCTAAACGGCGCGTACACTGAGTGAGAAGCACCTAGTGGAGCCTGTGGACAGTCGTGAGCACGTCTCAGCCATGTGCTGTGTGCGGGGCCATCCGCAGGCGCACGGACAGCCTCTCCGCCACAGGAAGCCGCCACGGCAGCGCACTGGGCATTTGTTTTTCTGAAGACGCCTCCCCACCACACTGAAGCGGAGAACAATGGTGTTCCTTGTGCAGGCAGCACAGCTGCTGAAATTCGACTAGATCCAAGCAAAGAAAGCAGAAGCAGGTGGGTCTGCAGGCGACCCTTTCCTCCCCAGCCGTATCAGGGAGTGCTGATGGCCGGGGGGCCGGTGGCCAGCTCCAGTGAGAGAGGGGGCAGGTGGGAGCAGAGGGGTCCTGCAGTAGGAAGCTGCACGCCTTGGCTTCTGGGTGTCCACTCTCCCAGGCACCCCAGCAGGGTGAGGCACACGTCAGTAGGTGACCCTCTGCTAGTACACGCACATCCCTAAGGTGACAGCGTGTCCCTTCCCTTGCCTACCCTGTCACCTGCTTCCTGGCACTTAGACGGTCTCTGGGCTCTGCCATTTGCATATCACTTTGATTGGTGTCACTCAAACAGCATATTAAAATTCAGTTCATTACATCTGTGCAAAGTGAGGTGACAATTAGAGAAGGCAGGCCCGCACCCAGGGAAGGCTCTGCTCACCCACGTGGGGTCTCAGGGTTTGCAGGAGCGCGAGCGAGGCAGGCTTTGCACTGTGGAGTGGAGTGAGGACCTCACACTTGGGGTGGTGCATCAGCTCTTCTAGGTGTCCTGGGGCAGCGGGGGGTTCCAACCTGGCTTTCTCTCTGCTCAGAAGCCCCTGCTCTGCCCACAGGGCTGTGTGAGGCACGCGCTTCTCACCACCAAGTGGAGGAGGGATCGGAATGGGGGGCCTTTGAGGTGTTTTCTCAAAAAGAGGGCATGTCCGTAAATAAGCAACTCCGAGCCGTGACTGTCGCCACTTCCACGTGCTGCGTATCCTTTGCTCATCCAATCACATGTATTATAAATGTACCCCAAGTGAAAGAAGTTAAGTTTAATGAAAATTATCTTGAGATAAAATTACAGAAATTGGCATATGTAACAAAGTTCGTTTTTTTTCTGGCTAAGAGAAGGGGAGTGTGAAGCAAGTTGTAATGCAAAGGTTTTCTAAAACCAAAATAAGCAATTGCTCTGTGTCTGGAATCTCATAAAACTAGTGTAGACACTTTCTGCACTTTCCCCTCTTGAACCTCTGAGGGAAGCCACTGTGTGTGTCCAATGCTGGGTGCGGCGCAGGGGGCCCCGGAGGGGCGGGACTGGGCCATATGGGCATCCCATGCATCAGTCTCCCCTTCCTGGCCTTGGCCGGAGCGCCCTGCGGCTCAGCTTTTCTCTCCATCAGCTGACAGCGGTGCTATAGGACCTACCATGGCCGGTGGTGCTGTGCTCCGCCTGCCCACCTTGCCTTGGCCCCCAGCACTGTTCAGGCTTCTTTCTGCTTCTGGAATCATCTCCCCAGAGACCCTAGCAGCGGGCACATGGGTCCACTGACACCAGCTGCTCATCCAGGCGACCACCTGCCCCTCTGGGCGGTGACAGTCACTGTCACCCTGTGTCAGGCATGCCGCACGCAGGCACTGCATTGCTGCAAAAGACCTGCTCTCTCAAAAGAACACGTGAGAGTAAGTGGAATCCTGCCACCCCGCATCTAACGAAAAATTCCAAACTCCAGAGAGTTTCGAACAGCTGTACAGTGAAACCTATGCGCTCCCCGCCTGGACTCCGCGCTTTCTCGCTCTGCTGGCTTCGTCACATGTCTGTTCATTGCTCAATTCAATATTCAGTGCCCCTCAAAACAAGTTTCAGGCCGAAGACCTGTCCATCAGCCCTAGAACTAGGGTACAGGATTCGTATAGGTTTGTGTCTGAGGCAGAAACGATGCTCAGGCCCTAAGGTTCCTCTGGTGAGTCTCGGGGAGCACACTCCCCGACAGGCGCAGACCCCATGTCCCCCGGCCCGCCTCTCCAGGCAGCTGTGTTCCGATTTCTTTCACCTGCATCAGTTTTCCTCATTCTAGAACCTTCTATAAATGGAACCACAGAATATGTACAGAGTGTGTAATGCAGCGTAATATTTTATTAACAGGAACTTGTGCAATATGCAAAAAGCAGTGCATGTTCCTTTTGAAGAGCCCGGTTTACAGCCGCCTAAAGCTGTTCTGGGTTGGGTGACACTGAGCAGCTGTTGGCACAGTGGGACCAACTCAGGGAGTTGTTAGGACTTGGAATGCCAGCTCCTCTGCGAGAACGCGCTTTCGGGTGCACTACACTCACCCGCATGTCTCACATGGGGCCCCGGCAGGAAGGATTCGATAGCGCCCCTCACATCGAACCTGTACAGCTGCTGCCATGACGGACTGAGCCCACGTGGGGCTGACACGAGGCAGTTTCATCTGGAGCCACCATCACCTGCCCCTGCTTCTCCCCTGACTTCCTCCCGCACCTGGGGCAGACAGGGGCCATGTTACCTGTGCCTGTGACTCCCCTGACTTCCTCCCGCACCTGGGGCAGACAGGGGCCATGTTACCTGTGCCTGTGACTCTCTTTGGCTTCTTCCCTCACTTGGGGAAGACGGGCTGTGTCACCTTTACTTGTCCTGTGTCTCCTTATGACATCCTCACCTAGTGCAGGAGGAGGCCATGTCATCTGTACCTATCCTGTGTCTCTGGCTTCCTTCCTCACCTGGGACAGATGAGGGCCACGTCACCTGCATCTCTGACTCCCTGTGGCTTCTTCCCTCACCTGGGGCAGACAGAGGCTGTCACCTATATCTGTCCCATGGCTTCCTTTGAGTTTCTGTCTCACCTGGGGCAGACAGGCGCTATGTCACCTATACCTGTCTTAGGTCTCCCTGAAACTTACTCCCTCACCTGGGGCAGACAGGCGCTATGTCACCTATACCTGTCTTATGTCTCCCTATGACTCTCACCTGGGACAGACAGGGGCCATGTCACCTGTACCTGTGACTCCCCTGGCTTTCTCCCTCACCTGGGCCAGATGGGACTATGTCACTTCCACCTGTCTTGTGTCTCCCCTGATTTCCTCCCTCACCTGGGGCAGACAAGGGCCATGTTACGTGTACTTATCCTGTATCTCCCTGTGACTTCCTCCCTCACCTGGGCAGACAGGGACCTGAGTCAGCTTTGCAGTCGGAACCTCACATGCAGGTCTCTGGCCTCCTCGGTGCACGTTGTCCATCCTGGTGAATGCTCCTCGGGGAAGAATGCATCCAGTCATGACTGCAAATGCAAGCCTATGAATGGAAGAGGCCTCTCCAGCCCCCGTTGGCAGTGTGTGCTCAGCATGAGGCCGTGTCGCATTTGCAATGCCCTGAGGACAGGAGGCAGTGGTCTGAATGCAGGGGCTTGGCTCGGGCGCTAGGGCACAGGGCCACAAGCTGCCACCGAGGTGCTTCTTGGCTGTGGGCTGGCACGCGCTTCTCGGTCATCCATCCATCCTGTGTTCAGGACTGTTAGGTTAAACAATTTGGTGGGACTGTTTCTGTAGAGCATGTCCCCCTGTGGCTAACATGGCCCTTTGTTCTTACTGTCACCGTCAGGATGGGAGTCCCAGCTTCTGGAAACAGGGTTCCTGGGGATTTTCCTGTGCCCTCTTTGGACTCTGTCTCGACTGCCCAGGAAGACCCCCACGTCCCGGATCGTTCTGTGGGGCTTTCGGTGGCTGATTTTCAGAATCATGCTTGGAGCAGTAAGTAGAACTCTTATTTGTAATGTTTGGGGGGAAATGCACTGTCCTCCAGTCGGTCGGGCTGGGCCAGCGGGGCCCCTTCTCCCTCTTTCTGTGATGTCCAGTGCCTGTCACTGAGCCCCGGAAACTCCATTGGCTTCCCTGGTCCTTCACACGGCCGCTTTCTGTGCACAACAACCGCGCTCAGTCCGTTTCACAGACTCGGGTACGGCCTCTCAGAGCTTCTTTCTCACCAGCCTTCCCGAGTTCTCTGGAATGCCCGAAACATTTCCCATCACTTTAAATCAGTCAGAAGGGCACCAGGTCACCTGAATCCTCAACCGGAGACAGCCACGCTGGCTTCCCTCTGCCTCTGCCTGGCATTCTCTGCTTTTGGACGCCATGCTCATGGATTTGGGGGGTGGAAGGGGGTTCAGCTGTTCTCTTTACTCCAGTGTGGCCATTGGGGGCATTGGTGTTCTCTGTGCTGTGCTCAGCCGGCTGCTCGCCTGTGTTCACCTCTTACTCTCCCCTACTCAACCCTGGAAACTAGAGTTCCTTAGCTTCCACCGTCTACAGAGCCTCTGAGAGTGCATACCCCACTTTTCACTTCACCAGCAGTTGCCCTGAAGTTTTTGAGAAACATTATCTGAGCCTTAAAATGAGGAGCGCCATGGTTCCTTCTGACTTCCAGCTGTAGGCAAGAGAATTTGGCAGTTTTCCCTTTTTCACTCTCTCTTCTATTAAGTAAGTAAGGTCTTCATTTTTTATTAAAACATTATAAAATACTAAATTCTCTTAAATTGGAAACCTCGCCCTACAGATATGTTAAGTGTGTGTTGGCTTTAAGTTTTTCCTTGGGGGACAGTCACAAACATGCAGAATTGTTGGGGGATGGGGCAGACAGCTTGCTCCTGACCCACCTGAGCACAGGCTGCTCCATCCATAGGGACCGCCTCGCTATGTCCCCTCTGGTCCCGACGGTCCTCAGTCTCCCTGCTCTGTGACTCGACACTGCGCTGTCCGATGTGCCCCTGACCAGCCCGAGGTGGGCATCCCTGCCAGGAGGCCCTGCACGCCCCTCCTTGGGGCAGCATCCATCTGTCCCCTCACTGACTCCAGTGGGCCCAGCTGGTCCTCTCAGTGTCACTTTTTCCCACAGTGTAATTAGTAAGCATTTTGTGGTGAGGCCTCTAAAATTATGTGCTGCCCCATTTCTCAGCAGATGTCCCGTTTCCTGGTACACTTTTGGCTGCAAGCCCGCACTCCCGTGTGCCCTGTGTTCAGTGCAGCCCTTCTACCTCACTGTGGCTGTCGCTCTGTGACGCCCTCGTTCCCTGTATCTGTTTTGTGCTCCGTCGCCCTCAAATCCTGACCAGTTGTTTCATGCCCTCAAGTCGGCTCCGACTCCTGGTGACCCTGTGAATGAGTGATGGCCACAGTGTCCTGTCCTCAACAGCCCTGCTCAGCTCCTGTAGACTCATACCCCTGGCTTCGTCCGTGGAGTCAGTCTACCCATATTCGGTCTTCCTCTTTCCCTGCTGCCTTCCATTCCCCGGCGTTACTGTCTTTCCAAAGAACCCTGCCTTCTCAGGACACCCTGCAAAGTAGGACAGCGTCAGTTGTGTCATTTTTGCCACCAGCAAGGTTTCAGGCTTCATTTGCTCGAGGACCCACCTGTTCATCTTCCTGCTGGTCTAGGGCAGCGGTCGCCAACCTTTCGGACCTCCCAGACCACCAGCTGGCGACCGCTGCCCTAGAGGTTTTCTATAAACCAGCGGTTGCCAACCTTTAGGGCCTCGTGGGCCACCAGTTGCGACCACTGGTCTAGGATATCCATAAAGCTCCCCTCCAACACCATAGTTCAAATGAGCCAGTCTTTCCTATCAGCCTTCTTCACTGTCAGCTTCCACGTCCGTACACAGGACCTGACCAATGCTAGCTCTTAACTAGCACCGACTGACATCAGCTCTGTGAAGGGACAACGTGCCAGTCATTGAGCGGGACCAGAGTCCTAAAGGCACACACCTCCCAGTTCTTTCTGTTACTATCAAGAGCCCACTCGCACACGCTTCAGATCCCCTCTTCGATAGCTTTCCTCAGCACCATGGCCGGCCGTCTATGGTTTGGTTAACTGTGGCCGGGGCCCCCGGGGCACTGGAAGCAGCTGGATGCCAGGTGGGCAAGCTCCACCTGGGGCAGCAGGCCTGGGGCCAGGGCCCGTGTGACTGGTCACATCCACTTGGGTGCTGAGCAGGCCCCCGGGGCTGTGGCAGGGCCGGTTGTAGAAGCCTGGAGCACCCGTTAGGAGCAGGCATGGTTGGCAGTGTTCCTGACCTGGGTCAATGTGATAGCTACAGATACTGGGAGACGCCATGCGTCTAGATTCCACACAATCCAGTTATGATGCTTTCTCTAAATTTACTTTCCCGTTTAATTAGAAAGATAGTAATTTTCTTTTTTTTAAATATATTTTATTGATATTTTACAGTAAGTAAGGGAGAGGGATAGAGAGTTAGAAACATCAACGAGAGAGAAACATTGATCAGCTCCCTCCTGCACATCTGCTACTGGGGATGTGCTGCAACCAAGGTACATGCCCTTGACCGGAATCGAACCTGGGACCCTTCAGTCCGCAGGCCGACGCTCTATCCACTGAGCCAAACTGGTTAGGGCAAGATAGTCATTTTCATGGTTCCTTTGGATGAAACATTGAAATTATTAGTTGTCTGTGGTTCCTCATCCATCTAAGACTTGATTTTGGATTCTCTCCTTGGCATAAAGTACAAAAAATGTATGAAATGTGCCCTGGCCAGGTGGCTCAGATGATTGGAGCATTGTCCTGTGCATCAAAAGGTTTCGGGTTTAATTCCTGGTCCTAGGTTTCAGGTTTAATCTCCAGCTGGGGCTTGTACAAGAGGCAACCGATCGATATTTTTCTCTCTTTCTCTCCCTTCCTTTCTCTAAAATCAATAAAAACATATCCTTAGGTGAGGATTAATTTTTTTTAAATGTATGAAATGTTTCAAGGACTTTATTGGGACCCATGCAATGACAGCTTCAATAGGTGGGACACATAAAGCAAGAGGCCCCAGTGCAGGGCCAGCCCGGCGTGGAAGCTCTGGGTGGCGGGCCTGTCAGGCTGTTTTGTGCGTGGTGTGTGATGCCGAGAGTTGAACAAATCCCACCATGCCTGGCAGAGTGCAGTGGATCATTAGCACATCCTAAAGCACCTTTTATGGCATTTGATTGACTGTTAGCGCCAGCTGGGTGAGAAATTATCAGGTGCACTAAAAGGTATAATTACTTGATTTAGTCTGTATGTTGGATAGTATTAATCTTCCTTCAGTAGCAAGCAGAAAATAGAGTTGACTTGACAAAAAAGAGTGCCAGCAGCAAAATGTCCATCCCTCTGTGAGGTGGAGAAACCACAGCAGACCTGGTGACACTAAAATGACTGAATGAAGCCCCTGTTGACCCCCTGATCTGCTACTGGGTCAGAACCAGTGCCAAGAATTGGCTTAGAGGTAACTGTTCTGAACACTCAGAAACCACTGTGCTCTTTGTCAGCTGGCAGTGGTTCAAATGCCCTGAAAGACGGAAGGGCTCGTGTAGAGCTCAGTCTCAGAGGGAACCCCAAAGCCGTGTAGGTAAAAGTGCTGAGCAGGAGAGGAAACCGCATGGCCTCTGTGCCCACAGAAGGCCCGCTCTTCCCGGGAGCCTGAGATGGTATCAGCATGGCTCCTGCCCTTAAGGCTTCTGTGTACTGAGACCTTCTGCCCCCTGCAATGCTGGGGAGAGGGCTAGGGAGTATTGGTGAGAGATGGCCCAGGCTACCTGCTCTCTGTGAGCACCTGGACCCGGACACACTGCGTGATGCAGCTGTTTTCATGTCGGACAACAGACAGTGTGGGACGGGGGTCCAGAGGGAGACGCATGCGGTGAGCCCCTTGACAACCTGGCCGTCTGTGGGGAGTCAGGAGGGAGGCAGGTAGAGGGGAAGACCCAAGGAGGAAGGGGCAGGCAGAGGGGGGACCTTGCCCACTGCTGGGAGCGGAGGAGGGTGGCAGGCAGGAGGGCTTTCCGCGGCCCGAGTCCTTTTGGAACTCCAGGGCAGAGTACAGAGGAGAGGAGTCTGTGCACCAAAGGAGCCCCAAGGGCACAGCATCACTTCCGTTGCAGCCTCACAAAAACGCACTGCTCTGATCTCATCACAAGGACGCATCAGACAGACTCCACTGGAGGGTGCTCCTCAAAATCACCAACGAGGGTTTTCCAGTATCAGGATCATGGGATGCAATTAAAGCCTGAGGCATTGTCAGACTCAGGGGACGTGACAGTTAATGTGGCCCCTGGATTGTCCCTGGTACAGGAAGGACATTAATGGGAAAACGTGAAATCCAAGTAAGGCTGGTAGTGAATAGTATTGAATTAATAGCAACAGGTATACAGGAAATCCAGACGATTTTTACAGCTTTTCTGAAGTCAAAGAATTTTTCAAAATAAAAAGTTAAAGAGAAATAGTATGAACAACTTTATGCACATAGAGCAAGTGATTCAAGGAAATGGTTAAATTCTTTCAAAGACATAGGTTAGCAACACTAACAGAGGAAGAGACGGGAATGTGAGTATTTCTATAAATAGAGATCATGAACACAGACAGACCTAAAGCACCTTCCCACTGAGAAAACTCCAGGCCCAGAAGCCTTTCCTGATGAGTTCTATAAAATATTTAAGGAAGAAACTATATGAATCCTATACACATTCAGAAAGCAGGGGAGAGGGAACCCTTCCCAATTCATTTTTCCAAGGCTGGCAAAGACAAGGTCATGTCAAGAAAAGGAAATTACCAAGCAGATTTTTCAAGAGCAGACATGAAATTCTTAAAGAATTATTAGTAAACTAGAGTCCCAGTGCACAAATTTTGTGCACTGAGGGGGGGTATCCCTCAGCCCAGCCTCCGAGGAGCAGGCCGAAGCCAGCAGTCGGACATCCTTAGCGCTGCTGCGGAGGTGGGAGAG